AACACTCGCAGGCGTGTTTGACCAAACTCTGAGAATAGTCTTCATCTAAAAACTGTACAAAAACAATGAAAAAATACACAGCTGGTGGGGGCAGACAATCAAAATCAACATTAAAAACTTTCACAATAGTTTAGAAGAGAGGATTTTAGTATTAGGTATTTGTTCTACTTATTTCTTATACTTATACTTATATAACATATTTCTGTTGTGCAAACATATTTCATGTATAAAAGAGTACGTCTATAACTTTTCAAGCGCGTGTAATGTTATGCTTCTTAACCGTAATCACATTACAACAAGGTGACATAGTCCCTCTAGCAAATCTGCCAAAAGTGGACAAAACAGAAAAATCTTAGCACACAGTAGATGCTTATGCTTATGACCGAAGGGGAGTACACATAGGCCTACTCTTTAATGTCAAGCGGAAATGTTGACAGAAACTAAATATGATTTAAAATTGTGGGTGTAATTATTTTACTGAGAAGTTTTAAGTAAAAATGTATATTTGTTATTTTACAGTATACATACTATCTATGGGTTGGATTAAAATGAAAACATTTCTTAAATGACAACAAAAAGTAAACACTACATATATGATTCTGCCTATACTTATACCTATACTCATTTTTGTGTGTGATCCCAAAGAATCAGACAAAGTGTTGATTCATTGTCTAAAGCATGATAGTGTGCACATCTATATGAGATGAATGTTGTAAAGCCATTAACACAAACACACAGAGGATACTCTTATCCACTGTCAGTTAGACCCCACAACCACCTTCACTGTCAGAAGTAAATGGATAGGTGAGGTGGACTTGGTGGATATTTGGTGGTTTTAATCATTTTTAACTTAAGACTCCTTCTCATAAATTTACTTAATCAGCCTACAGATTAGCTTGTACTGATCCTACAGAGGTGTTAGCATATACGCATATCTGACACAAAGTGCATGATATAACTACTTAGGAATTACACAGGCTTCAGTCTGAATCCAACTCTTATGAAGATCTGAACACCTGATAAGGGATGAGGCCAACCTCTCCGAGGACTTAAGATGACACCAAGCTTAAACCAACATACAAAACTACCAAATTGTCCTATAAGTTTGATCGCAACATATAATCATTACTGTTAATAGTGTTCACCATTTGTTTGAATACATGTCATTAACTAACGGGATTTTTTTTTTTCTGTACATATCTGCCATATGGATATCACCTTGACATATTCACCACTGATAAACTCCTAAATGTAATGTAGAAACTTTAATTTTCTTTGAAGCTGCTTTGCAACGATTTGTATTGTGAAAAACGCTATACAAATAAATGTGAATTGAATTGATTAACAGATAATTATTTCATGTAAATTAAAATGTTTAAAAATGTCACTTTCAATTCATATGATCATGTACTTCTGGAAAATCTACAAATGATTTGACTAAAAGCTTTTGTTAATGCACAACACGTGTGCAGTTATTGAGGTGTGATAAAGTTAGGGACAGGTTTAGTAGTATGGGTAGGTTTAAGGGTTGGTGAAAGGCTCAGAAGTGTACAGGGGTCAGGAACACTGTTCAATCGGTTTATATCACATTGTTTGATAAATGTATTTTCTTAAAAATGTTATTAGTTTTCTCCTGTTGATGTAGGAATATTATGTTTTATGATATACAGTAATATACCATATTAAGTGTTGAGGCAATAAAAACATGTTTTGCACCCAAATTACAATGTGTGTAATGTGTGATGTTTAGGAAGCATTTTGCTAAACTTATAACTAACCATCCTTTACACAAACATTGTTACAGCAGCTAAAAGTCCCATAAAGCCCATAAAGATACTAAACGTTAGTAAACATTTATAAACATTTACAAATGAAGAATAGTTTCCACTTTAGATTGGGTACTACAAAAACATGAACAAATAATTAATAAATGATTTGTTAAGATGTGAAAATAGTAGAAGTCTATGCAACCAAAACAGACCAAATATCTGATCTTTACAGACTGTGATTATGAGTTAATGAATAATATGTTAACATGAATAGTTTGTGAAGAGCTTAAAATTACTTATTAAGCTAATTTTAAAAAAAAATTGTAAATGTAAAAATACCATTAGGTAATATATAAACTTAAGTTTAATGACATTTGTTAGCATTCAAAAGTACATTAACAAATAAGCTTGTAATCATTGTATAATTTCTGTTAAAATCATTTGTAGATTTTTAAAAAGTGCTTGATTGTATGAATGAAAAGTTTAATGACATTTGTAAGCATTAACTAATGGTCCGTGAAGCATTATAAAATGTTTGTTAATGATTTATTAATGAAGCTTTTAACAATTGCAAACCCTGTGTGAAAATCATTTGAAAATATTTTAAAAAGTGCACGATCATATGAATTGAAAATCTGATGACATTTGTAAGCATTTCAATTTACATTAAATAATGGTCTGTTAATCATTAGGTAATTTTAATAAGTACATTAGTAAACATTAACACATTATCTCATATTTCTAGCAATGTGAATATATATTAACTAATGATCTGTTAAACCTTAAATAATGTTTGTTAATGCTTTATTAATTAGTCATTATAAAGTGTTACCCCCACCAGTCACTGTTCAAAATATTAATAAGTATTTCCAGCACTTCACTTTTAAAATTCCAGTAAGAAATTTTATGCTATTCTTCAGTGACATACACAATGACAAATACAATCTTAATGCAATGGCATCCAATGAGTTTCCAGTCTGAACTTTGCGCAGACTTGTCAAGTTCTTCCAGACTCATTTCAGACAGGTCCACTTCGTCAAAGTATATTTATTACAATTATAGCATACAGTTAGTGTTGACGGTATGGTTTCTTTTTTGGGCAAAACTCCCCACGCCTGTCCATGCAGCCATGCTTGGACAAAGCGGGGAGAGCAGCAAGTCAAACCTCCCTGGGCTACAGAACAGATCCAGTATATGCATACATAATTACAATTATTACAATTAAAAAGAAGAAAACTTATGGTGGGTAGAAAAAAAGGAAAACTTATCTCGTTATTTTGACATAATAACTTATTTCGAGATATTAACTCGCTATTTCGACATAACTTGTTATTTCGAGATATTAAGTCGTTATTTCGACATAATAACTAGTTATTTCGAGATATTAAGTCATTATTTTGACATAAATCTCATCATGTTAAGGTTTGTATTAATTTCAATATTAGCCACTAGAGGGCAGAATAAGACAGTGAATCAATTAAAGAACACATTGTAGTTACTGTTAAGCACTTTTAAAACATGGTGCTCCACAATCTCAGAAGTTTATCATTGGGAATTTGCATTCATGCCAGGCATATGCATTCATTCCAAGCTAACATTTATTGAGTTGAAATGTATGTAGCCCATAAATGCAACATATAACCGTAAAAGGTCGTCATAAATACACTGGCATGTATTCTATGTAGTTTTCATAACACTGAATTATGTTGACCTACTGGTAAGCACTTTTACAAGTTGGTGCTCCAAAACCCCAGAAGTTTATCATGGGAATTTGCATTCATTCCAGGCTAACATTTATTGAGGTGAAATTTATGTAGCCCATAAATGCAACATATTACCGTAAAAGGTTGTCATAAATGCACTATAGGCGATAGTTTTCATAACACTGGATATTCTACTAATTCAAACTTTTCTAATACATGGCCTAATAGGCAATTAACTTATTTAGCAATTACGTAGCCATATAGTTTTGTGCTAATTGCTAGTATTGCTCTTTCAGCCAACTTCGTTTATCTATTAGACTTGGTATATTTGTTGGCAGCATCAGTTCGCAGCGCCACTTCCGGTGGCATCTCCAGTTGCCAAATGCGGTCAAGCCAGCCGCGGTTAAGAAGAACACGGTCAAACCAGCCGCCAACATTATGAAGCTGCAGGCCCGGACACCCAACTGCACGCTCAGACCTATCGTTTTTTCAGACAGTGCCTCCTGCTGATTGGATGAACATTTGTTTTGTAGCGTGTGTACCGTAATAATTTCCAACATTATAAAACTGCTAGCAAGTAGCAACATCGGACACGTGAGTAAGGTTATTAATTTTATTAAAGCGATTCCTGAAAATTACCAGGTTTTATGGCATAAATCAATGTGACATCTTATTACACCAACAAACGAATAGCCTATTTTTGTATTTAATGATAGTTTAGACAGAGAGTTTGACAAAATAAGCCATGAATTTTGTTCTCCCCAGTTATTTTCAAACACGTGGTGCGTAACCTATTATTGCTAGCTTAGTCAGTGTTTGATTTGATCAAAATTAGTGTCGAAAGATAGCATTATTTTATAATATTTACAGCTTGCTCTTATTTTCTGTGTTATTGTACCATTCTGGGATACTTAATATGTTTTCTAACAAAATAAAAAACGTTAAAGTAAAAATGTTAAAATAAAATGTATAATATATAATACAATTATTATTTGTAACATATTTTAGTACTATGTAGGTCTACTGTACGTATTACTGTATTAACTACTATTATTTCATACTAATATTACTACTACATTTACTATTAGTAGTAGTAGTATGTGTAAGAAAAATAATATTGCACGTTCTTTTTATTGTACTTTACAAATCTCAAAGTGCTACCACAGACAATAACAGTAACACAATAACAGTGTAACAATTAGAAATAAGTTCTGTAATAATTACAAATAAGATCTTTGGAATAAAATGCGGCCTTGAGTTTATTTTCATCAAAATATCAAGTAATCTGCGTAGAATTGACAATATGAGCTCTGTTGGGTTGTCTAAATAATTTGCGTGTGACTTGTGTATTTTTTCCCAGATGGATATTACAATTCAAAAAGGGGGGTCTCTGCCAGAACTAATACAGTGCACCAAATGCTGCAGTCATTTCCACTGTCCATTTTGTGATTCCTCAGTTTTCCAACCAACACAGTTGGCAAAAGTGCAAACGCATCTGCAGGCACATTTCAATACACTGGTCCAGCATGAAGATAATATTTGCAGTGTGTGAATGTTTTATTTTATTAATTGGTTTATTTGTACAGGCCATCATTCATGGCCTTTGCGAGCTGCAGGGCTTGTCTTGGCAGGAGGCTGAAGAGATGTTCCTCCAGGGCCCCACTTATCACTCAAGGTATGTTTTCAATTTTTGTTTGTACAAAAACTGTTGGATTTTTGTGTTACACAACATTTCTGACAACAGCATTTATCTTTTCTTTTAGTGAAGTTGAGGAATTTGACAGAAGAATTGCTCGAGAAATGAAAAATCTCCCCAACAAGAATGTAAAGCAGTTATTTTATTTGATGTTTTTAATATGTAATATATATACATTATTAACCCAATTATTTTTTTTCACCATTTTTCTCTGCATTGTTTACAGCTCGATGACTTGTAGGACCTCATGAAAAAGAATACAAAAATAAAGTTTGGTGTGAGAAAATGACTCCGAGCACTATAATTTATTGTATGTAAATATAGAGTTAATGTTCATCCCCTAACTCAATATTAAAGAATGTGATAAATCCTTAATAATTAAGAAAACAATAAATGACTATGAAAATATTTAAGTAACTGAACAATTTCTATTTACAAATACAATTAATAAAAATAAACCAGACTTAATGCATTAAATCATAACCTAGTATGTGTAATATTTTATATAATAATGCATTCAGTCATAGCGTAATATTTTATAGTAGAAAAATAGTGTAAGTTGCAATCTATCAGCAATTGAATTCAGGTTAGGTAATCTTATCTAATCAGGTTAGATAATCTTCCAAACAGCAGGTGGCACTGTCTGAAAAAAACGATAGTTCTGGGAGTGCTGGTCTGAGCATGCAGGTCTGAGTGTGCAGTTGGGTCTCCGGGCCTGCAGATAATCTTCCAAACAGCTGGTGGCACTGTCTGAAAAAAACGATAGGTCTGAGCGTGCAGGTCTGAGCGTGCAGGTCTGAGTGTGCAGTTGGGTCTCCGGGCCTGCAGATAATCTTCCAAACAGCTGGTGGCACTGTCTGAAAAAAACGATAGGTCTGAGCGTGCAGGTCTGAGCGTGCAGGTCTGAGTGTGCAGTTGGGTCTCCGGGCCTGCAGCTTCACCCTACTCCGCGATTTAAACGAGTGTGCGCGCGTATTACTATGATTACGGTCTATTCAGGACCAACATGGAGAGAGCGCGCTTTCAGAACGCTTTTCATTTAGATGCCCAGAATTGACAGAAAATATAACAAGATGACATTTCTCTCTATATTTTTCTCGATATTATATAATTTTCTTTAAAGATCACCTTTCAAATCATTGTTTTATGTAGATGAGTTACAGCAGGATTCATAGAAAACAGACAAAATAACGTATTTCGTCCTTCTACATACATGAATTGCTTTTCATTTGTTTTACTGTACAAGAGTGACAGCATTTTTATATAATGAGGTTTAACTTCTGCGCTGAAAGTGAACTCCAATAACAAAATAAGTTCACAATAAAAATAAATTACTTTATGTTAAATAATATGCCTTTATTTCACTCCAGATGCCTATAAAGAACTAATTTCTACTAAGTATAAAATGCAATAAGACAAGAGTAAATTGTTTTCATATGAGGTGTGTATATTGTCAGGGGTGGATCTAGAAAATAATTTTTAGAGTGGCAAAGGGGTGGCATGGGGTCTATGAGGGGTGGCGACACCAAAGCAAGCCCCCATGCATAGTCTTTGGGGATTTATGGTCTGACATACACAGTTGTGTTCACAAATATTGTATTACCATTAAGTAATCATCCATACTGTTTAAAATTAAAAATAAATAACAACATTTCAATATCCATCATGGCACCAAGTCACAACAGTAGTAAATATGATACGGCATATGTCAACTTGATTGATGGCTTTGACCTTTTGACCTTTCCCCTCCCCCCACGTAGCCCACCACATGGCGACCACCCAGTTGTGTTGACCCCGTGACCTGTCCAGATGTGAAGATTGGCTTATGTGAAATTCCGACGTCAACCTATGACCTACGGGGATGTAAAATGTTGTTTGTTCAGCTGTTTGACCATTTCAGAGAATGGCAGGCGATAAATGAAGACCTAAGGAATGTTTTTGAAGATTTTAATGGTCCGTTCCCACATCCGGGGGGGTTCCCCATCTGGGGTCCGTGTGTCCGGCTGCATTCCAAGTCAGGGCATTTTTGCTCTCTCTCACTCTATGGGAGATGTGAGAAAGATATTGGTTTTAAGGTCAATAATAAATAAACAATTTTAAACAGTTTGTGAGAACAGATCACAATATGTGTGCCCACACACAAATAATATGTTGACTATTTAAAAAGATTCTCAACATAATAAAATAATTTAAATAAAATATGTAACATGACTAATAATGAAATTGGGGATAAATCAATAAATAAAGAAATACAATTCCTCTTACATTTTTCCATGAGAAAGTCTTCCTCCTAGTGCAGGAATGACCATTCCGTGAATGAAATATTTCCCAAAAACCTCTAAAAAAAAACCCTCTCTCTCACCTTCTTTCTCCCTCTCTTTCTCTCAGACGCATGCGTGCACATTCAATTGCCCCGAGTCTTATTCTCTTCTTTTAAATGAAAATAAATTAATTCATTATGTGATCGCACATGATATAAAACAAAGCAAAACATGTACACTAGTTTTAGTCATCGCTAAAAATATAAAAATGTCGTACATTTTACCAGGATCGGGAAAAAAATAAAAATTTAACAGGCCGAATGATATGGGCTATTGGGGGCCCCGGTCATGTTTATGGAGACTTTACATAGACAGTTCAATTCAATTTAAATCACTTTTATTTTTTATATCTTTTCACAAACGCTAAAAATATAAAAATGTCGTACATTTTACCAGGATCGGGAAAAAAATAAAAATTTAACAGGCCGAATGATATGGGCTATTGGGGGCCCCGGTCATGTTTATGGAGACTTTACATAGACAATTCAATTCAATTTAATTCACGTTTATTTTATATATCTTTTCACAAAACAAGTTGTTACAAAACAGTTGAACAGATAAACATCATATTTAGAAACTTTAATATTTAGATTTACATTATATTCATTAATTTTATACACTATCATCCCCTAACCCTATCATCACAGTAAACTTTCTACATTTTTTATATTTTCAGAAACATTACTTAGTATAATTTATTATTTAAAAAAGCTGTTATGCTCATGGGGACAATCATTTGGAGTATTACTACACTTCATTATGACACTCCATAGACATAAGGATTTTGTACTGTACAAACACCTACCCATCACACATAAATTCTGCATACATACATTTTTAATAAAATATTGTTTTTAAGCGATCTGAATTATAAGAAATATCCTCATAAACACATTTGCATTGTTATATCAGTGTTATAACCATGTCAGTATACAAATTTGTGTTCTGATCAATCATATAAACAAGCACACACATAAACATTTCAAACTAAAGATAGACTTATCTCTATTTTAAAGAATATGGAAATAAATAATTATATATGACAGCATGTTTTAAACTAAAGCAAATCATTCATCATGCAATTTAAAAAGTATTCAACATTTATTTAAGTTTATTGAACTTATAAAACACATCATTCTCTTCATTTAAATAAATAAAATGTGATTATATATAACATACTTTATAAAAATATGCATTTACTATAGTTTCAGTTGACAATAAAAATGCTTTACATTATTCTGGGAGCGATGATAACCAACCAGAAGTTTAAGTAGGAAAAGCGCCTCTGTCTCTCGCTCTAACCCTTACCCTCACCTTCTTTCTCTCTCTCTCTCTTTCTCTCACAGACAGAGTGAAATGTCAGTCTGAGTTGTGTGAGCCGACACACGCACGCGCACACACACACACACACACACACACACACATGCCTTGGTTTTTGTTTTCTGGGGACGCTCCATAGACGTAATGATTTTGTACTGTACAAACACCTACCCATCACACAAAAATTTCTGAACATACTTACATTTTTAATTTAATATTTTTTGTAAGCAATCTTAATTATGAGGACTCAAAACTCATTATACAAATTTGTGCTCTGATAAATCATATAAACAAGCAAACACACACACATACATAAACATTACAGGCTAAAAGAGACTTTTCGGAAGCAGATCATACATTTAATCAAGTATTCAAGTTTATTGAACTTATAAAACACATTTTAAACGAAAATTGTAGTTTTTCACTAACTACGCATAAACGTTGTTTTTGCAAAAACACAAACATGTACAATCACATGTACATAAGTTGGAAAATTAAATCCTGCTTTGAGCTCTTCTCACTAACAGAATTGAAATGTCAGTCTGAGGCGGTAGTGCTGACAGACACACACACACGCGCACACACGCACACGCGCACGCGCACACACACACACACACACACATTGTTTTTTATATTTTCTGGGGATGTTCCATAGGCGTAATGATTTTGTACTGTACAACCACCTACCCGTCACACAAAAATCTCTGCACATGCTTACATTTTTTATTAAATATTGTTTGTAAGCAATGTTGCATCTTTCCCAAAAAGACTCATGGCTGTATTAGATCAAAAGGGTGCTTCTACTAAATACTGAGCAAAGGGTCTGAATACTTAGGACCATGTGATATTTCAGTTTTTCTTTTTTAATAAATCTGCAAAAATGTCAACGATTCTGTGTTTTTCTGTCAATGTGGGGTGCTGTGTGTACATTAATGAGGAAAAAAAATTAACTTAAATGATTTTAGCAAATGGCTGCAATATAACAAAGAGTGAAAAATTTAAGGGGGTCTGAATACTTTCCGTACCCACTGTACATTCACGCTGCTCGCATATTATCATAGCTCAGCTTGTGTTGAATACAGTACAATCAGACTTTAGCCATTCATATATTTTAAAGATACTGAAAAACACAAATTTCAAAACGTATCCAGTGATTATATATAACACGCTGTATAATATAAACATTTAATAGTTTTAGGTTGCAATAAATATGAAAAATGATACCTTACATTTTTTAGAGTGCTAGGATGTCCAAATATGAATGAGTGATTTACAAAAATACATTTAGTTTAATTTGAATCGTAAACAAAATCTCACAGGTCCTCTAGGGGTATTCTCCTATGTGAAACTGATGGACTGCTTCAGCCCCCTCACAGTGAGGGAGGAGTTCCAGACCGCATGATCTAAGTAAATAGGCTACATTTATTAGAAAGCATAACATTAATGTAAAGTTTAAATGATCAGTATCCCTACTACATCTGATGTCCAGTGAATTTCAACAAAATTATAATTTATATTCGATTTATTACGCATCAAACACTTTAGATTCTTTAGTTTTCTTATTTTAAGCATAATTTTCAACGTTTTAATACCAGCTCTCTCTCTCTCACACACACACACACACACACACACACACATAAA